AAAATAACGTTCCCTCCTCAGAAGGAAAATTAGGGACATTGTAGATTTTGAGTTATATCCTGAAAATAATGATTTTGGGCCGAATAAAAGGTCGCTGCTTTAGAACTTTGCAAATTAATGTGGTTGTAATAACTCCATGGTTGAAGTCAGATTATAACACGTGTGTGAGCGGCGAGTTTACATCATGCGCGACGACAAACATGCTATTTAAAAATTATCACCTCTAGGGGGAAGCAAGCATGACAATGCCAAATGCGCGCGACGCGTCGTAGCTGCATGCGACGTCTTCCAAGCCATATAATAAACGAACAAGCGCAGCTAAGTATTATATGTATAAAACTGAATGTATAAAACAGTTACAGGATTGTTTGGAGTGACAGGATATCGCCGTCTTGAAATCAACTTAATAACACCAGAATGTGTGTGTGTCTGTGTGTCTGTGTGTCTGTGTGTAATTTCCGAACAGTTATACAAAAAAAACGGTAATAGTTACGGGACTGGTTTTTTCGGTATAGTGCCGACAAAACTCTGATGAAGCCCATAAGAAAATTTTATAAAAATCGGCCGGTGGTAAGTGGTTTAATTGATGATTTTGTTCCAGAAATGTGACATAAATGGATGGGAGAGAGAACGAGGAGGATAACATGTACCGTAATTAGTTTAGCCCCACGTAATATCAGAGCTCACTCTTGCGGCCGCTTTGTTTTAACTGTAGGGAGATTTCATACTTTCATAAGACAGCATTATGCGTGATATCAAATATATAATGCGGTTGTATACTTTTACATTGCAACTGTGACAGTAAATTCCCGGCCGAAGGCACGGGTTACACTAGTATTATCAATAATGTGCCTCTAAATCATTCTGTTGGACCTTTGATATTTTGTAAGAGTATCAACCTTAAATGTATCTTCCTGACTCTGTTCAAAATAAAGTTAAATTATTTGTGGATCATGACCTTAAATTAATTGGCAGTGCTGCTGACAGTAAAAGTGTTACTGAGGATCTACATAGATTAGATTAGATTAGATTAAGAATAATGACATAAACATTTTATTTCACTATCATTTCACCTAAGATATCATGCCTGTTTACTCTTGGACTGTAAATTCGTATTGTATTGTACAACAGTTCACAGAAGACTACCATGCATGCTCATGCAGAATACTCTGGCCCGACAAGATTCTTGATCTTTTGGCAGAGTCCCCAAAATTTACCCTTTACCACAGATATTCTGATAATTCGGCTGAGTCAAGCTAATTTTACACAGATGTGTAATGCTACATAGCTCCATCAGAATCATTTGGTCACTCTCTAGACTAAGTGACACTGGTATATGCATCCCCGTACTTACTGTTAACCACTTTCCCACTCAGCATCTCTGCTCCTATCTCAGTTCCAATCAAGTTCAATTGCTGTACTTTGATATATCCTTACCATTCTGTTTGATATGTCAATTAAGTTTAAGTGTATTCTCTTTGCCTTCGCTGGTAATGTTTCATAATTTTGAATCCTTGTATCCTTGCCTCCTACTTATGCACCGTTTTTATTACGTTAGTGGAATCGTAGCCAAATGTGGGAAAACACTAATCTATTGATAAAAAGGGGGAGGTGGCCGGTACGATGGTATCTGAGTATGTCTGCTGAGAATTGAAGTTCAGTTTTTGATTCAAACCAAAATGTTTTTGTTACATGATTGTCGTTAAATACACTATAATTCATATATTATGAAGCTGATCTGTTAAAGATGTAATTTAGTTACTTAAACTTAGAATATATATGGACACGTTCATTTGAGTTTGAGGATATTGGTAAACAAAAATAATAGCGTTTTTGACGATAGTGGCTTAATTTTGACATCTATTAACCTAGCACGTTCAGAAGTTCTGAACATTAGCCACGTAACCCATACTCCCATATGCACTGCTCAGAAAGAAAATCTATTGTTGTTAGGCACTATAATGTTACAAATGTCACATTTTGTGTGACTTAGTTAACTGCAGTTGTCTAATTATCATTCCTTGGTCTGAAACATAGTAGATTAGGTCAATCTAACAATTATGATACAAAATTGGTTAAAGGGCACGGATCAAACGGTTACAAGGCAATATTTAGGTAACTTTGTCACACTCAGAATACCATACCTCTATTCTACTGTGAGGTGTCCTCAAAACCCTTTTTTACACATTATTTGATGGTTGATCTACCAAGTACGGAGTACCAATCATAGCCCTAAAATATGTTGCATTGAATAGTTAGCTAATACAGGCACTTGATTATTGGGAAATGAGGTTAATTCTGTCATAATATATAATGGAATTTAAAATTTTGGGCGAATTATTTATATCTGATTTTGGTTTGGAAGGGCGGGAAAACTTTACATGATGACAATGTAGTTGATGCAAGTTAAGATCAGTTGATGTTTACTTTGTCACAAAAAATTATACGAAATCGTAAATAGGTTAAAAACAATGATTATATAATGAAATAGTCTCTTAAAATAACTCTTATAATAACTGATGTGACAAAGTAAACATGTCTTGCCCCTATTTTGAAGATCTATATAGTCTATAACTTTATTAGAATTCAACATTCTTTCAGAAAAAATTGGTAGAATATTGTCCAGAACATCAGAGCTCAAGTTTAACAATTTTAGGTTAAATTTGTCAAAGTCACTAAAAATGTGACAAAATTAACTTTTCCTGCCCTAACAATTTCAAGATAGTGTGTAAAAATTAGCATAGGATGCCTTATTACCTAAATAAATCAATCCAAACTACAAAAAATATATGTTAATGTGATGACGATTACCTAACTGTAATAATAACTGATGTGACAAAGTAAACATGTCTTGCCCCTATTTTGAAGATCTATAATTGTATTAGAATTCAACATTCTTTCAGAAACGATTGGTAGAATATTGTCCAGAACATCAGAGCTCAAGTTTAGCAATTTTAGGTTAAATTTGTCAAAGTCACTAAAAATGTGACAAAATTAACTTTTACTGCCCCAAAAATATCAAGATAGTCTGTTGAAATTGGCATAGGAATTAGGATGCTTTATTGCCTATATTAATCGATCCATACTACGAAAAAGATCGGTTAATCTGATGAAGATGACCTAAATCTTATAATAACTGATGTGACAAAGTGGGGGGAATGCAACGTCAATTAATGTCAGTATTCCATAAAAACCCCAAACTGACATTGACATTAATTGACATTAATTGACATTAATTGACATTAATTGACATTAATTGACATTAATTGACATTAATTTGTCTTGAAATTTGAGATTATCATTATTCGATAAATATTCCAGGTATTCACGTCTATGTAAGTTAGACCGGTTCAAAAAAACAAAATGTCCTTGAATAATTATGAGTATGTTCTTATCTGTTGATCCTTAGGTTTATAGACCACAAAAAAAATTTCAGCTTCCAACTCTTCAATCTTCGGTCCCCACCGGCCACGCCCATATTTTATTGGTTTCTTATACAGGTAAAATATCTAGAATCGGCTTTTTTAGTATGAAGGAGCAATGTTAGCTGTTTAAGATTCGTTATTCAAATATAAATGTCATGAAGGCATTTCGTTTAATGTGGGTTTTAAGTTCTGATGATGTTGAGAACCACGCCCTTGGATGGCCACGCCTATTTAAGAAAATTAAATTTCGGAAAACCGTATCATTTTAGTTTAATTGTTTAATGATCTGAATTTTTTCACATTTCACATTTCCATATGTGATAGTAGTGAATAAATTGATGATATAAACGTTCTTAAGTGCTAAAAATATGGTAGAACTACATAATCTCTGGTCGAAAAATATCGTGTCAATTAATGTCAGTATTCCAAAATTTTGCAAAACTGACATTGACATTAATTGACATTAATTGACATTAATTGACATTAATTGACATTAATTGACATTAATTGACATTAATTGACGTTGCATTCCCCCCGACAAAGTAAACATGTCTTGCCCCTATTTTGAAGAACTATACCTCAATTAGAATACTATGTAACTTTATCATCAAAAAAATTTCGATAAACTAATTATTTTGCCTGCAAGGAACTGACAGAGTTATAATAATTTTTTTTGTGACGAAATGACCCTATTTTTGACCATTTTGCGGTAGTTTAATTGTGACACTGTTAACATATTACCACCCGATAATGATTTATGTGACTGGTGCATGGTACTAGCAGTGTTGTTTGATCCATAGTACGTAATACAAAGGGTTTAAGCTGGTATATCATTATTTGTTTAATTTCACACATGTTCAGATATCATCAAGATTATGTGACAAAGTAAACTTGTCTGTGCCTTCTGTGTTTTAATTCCTTGCGACTATATGATATAATAACAATTCCTAGCACTTCCAGGCCATTAAATAAACCTACACTACTCAGCATTGCTTATCAGGGTTCCCTAAACATTTTTCACATATTTTCTTAAATGTGTGACAGAGTAAACCTGAGTGCACCATCTAACGAAAAAGGTCATCAAATATGTAGGTAATGGTCATATGTACCCATCCAATCAACTGGACACTCAACATTATGGTCAAAAACGGCAGCAAGTGGTCCATATTTACTCTGTCACAAGTTTATAGTGTGACAATGTAACCATTTCCGTGCCGGCCGTATTTAAGCGATATCTTATCACCTGATTAAGATATCGTTATGTGACAAAGTTAGCCTAGAGGATGAGACGATTATCCTAACCATCAAGGGTTTGTGTAATTTCATAGTGTGACAAAGTCAACTACACTGTGCCTTTTAATAGGGTCACTTATATTTACCAATATCCTCAAACTCAAATGAACCTGTCCATATAATATAGTGAATGGAAATTTTGAACCTATGTAAACTCCTGCAAGACATCATGTACTACTCCTCATACATACATACATAAGATAATTTTAAATATTTTTTATTTGGAATGCTCATATATATTGTTTTATCGATTTGAATTGCAAAATAACTTATCAGTAACTCTCAGTCTGAGTCATGGATGATCATGTTGGAGCCTCTTGGCTTAATGAGAACAAATTGATGCTGTTCAATACTTCTCTAGAGAATGAAATTGACTTCAAAGTGGAAAGTTGGGAAGCTAATCTGGACAGTCTTATCAATAAGTACATTGTTTTTGAGGGTCATAGTGTTTTCAGTGAAGTTCAGTTATCAAATGGCAATGATGTTCAATCTCACAGTCATGCTTATCGATCCCTCTTGCGTGCAGCTATACAAGAGCTGGGACCAGAAAATGAGGATGACAAGAAACTTGTAGCTTTGTATGAACTTGTTTGGTCATTTTGTGAAGTTCTATTCATAGAACATCTTCCCGGGGGTTGTGTGCTGCCTTACCTAATGGAACTGATGCAGTGGCATTTCCCTCAACCAGTGGAAACTCTCAATGATGTTTTAACTTTTGAGGAGCCAATGGAACACCCCAAATTTTGGGATTGTGTGGTATCTCTTTTGTTTCAAGGACAAATTAATGAAGCAGTTGCATTACTGAAAATAACTCCAGATGGTGGTGAGCTTACTTCATTTCTGGAAAAAATGCCATTACTCAACAATTTTAGTGGCCATTCTCTATCCGAATTCAAGATATCTTGGTCGATGTGGCAAGAGAATTGTAAACAGAATCTTGAGTCTGCTAATTTTGTGCTTGATGAATCATCTGATATACTGGAAATTCTTTGTGGCAATCTTGATGTGTTTGTCAAGTATAAAGACCTAGCACAAACCTGGTATCATCTCATGACATCCTATTTACTTTACACCATGCCAACAGTCACAGTGGTCACCTTGCATCATCAAGCTAAGGACATGATGGGTATCTACAAAGATTATCTCAATCCTCTTGATGAGATTCTTTTCTCTGCGATGGAGTTTGATGCTCATTCAGTTCTTACTCAATGTATAACCCAGTTTAGAAATAACTGGTGGCTTAGTGCCCATCTTGCAGACATACTATACCATGCAAAACAGCTTGATGACACAGAACTCCAATATGGATGTTCTCTTCGTGAGTATACCCTCCTTCATTACGCATCTGAGCTTATTTTCCATGAAGATTTTTGGAGCATAGGTATGGACTACTTTATGGAATGCAAAAAGTTAGGAAAATCATATTTAGAGATTGCTGTTCCAAGAATTCCTTTGGAGAACCAAAACAAAGCTCTGAGAGTTTGGTCTGCCTGCGAAAAACATGGCCTAGTCTCGATTGGATCAAATGTGTGTAGAGTTATGTCGTCAGCAGCAAATCAAAGTGATCAACTTGGATTGGCCTTGATTTGGAGTCTCCAAGCCAAAGATCTGGTGAGTGTTACCAAAATTTCGGAGACGATTCTAGACAACTACATTGAAACAGGAGGATTCTCAAACCTAGACTTTTTGGACCAGTTGGGGAACAACAAATTGTTGAGTAACCGTCTCATGTTCCTTGGCAAGTACAGAGAGTTCCACAGCTTGATTAAAACTCAGCAGCAGAAGAAAGCAGCTGATTTGTTGGTATCTCTGGTTGAGTCTAACCTGGGACCTCCCCGGTTTCAGATAACGTTGTTGCTTGATTCCCTTCCTCTCATTAATGACGTTGATGAAACCTCTGAGAGCAGTGGCGTGGTTATGGACTCAAGACAGACCCATGTTTTACTTAAAGCATTGGAAGACATGCAGATCAAGAAGTTGTTAAAAGAATCTGATATGCAGAAAATTGAAACCATAAGATTAGCCTTGGTCACTAATTTAGCCTCCTCCTTTTTGAATGAACCGTGGTAGTTTATTCTTATGCTGCACATAATATTTTCCTTGACTATTTCAATAACTCTCACGTTCTATCAAGTTTCTTTTGATAAGTTGTGAAGTGCATCAAACAAAGATGATTTGAATTAGCTTTTTAGTAAGCTTTTGTATAACAACCAAGGATCAAGTAACGGTTCATAATTTTTAAATATATTTATTATTTTTAATTCTATAGATTAAACATGTTTGTTTTTGAGTTTTTCAATCTGACAATAATTTAAATACCTTTATTTGTGTCAACACATACCTGTTGTGTTTTACTGAATAAACAACTATATGACATAACCTTGCTCCATTATAAGTCGATAGTATTTCTTACGAACATATTCTTGTCAAGTACGATTAAGATGATATAATTTAAAACGTGGCATTGCTAGGTGAGTCTGCATATGATATATAAAAGTTATTGCACATTTAAATATAATTTTATATTCGAATAGGCGTTGTTCAATAACGTTTGGGTGCCGCCCCTAGCCCCTATATAAAAAACAAGATTTTTATTTCGTGAGAAATATTCGTACCCGTTGACAGTATTATTTGTAAGTTGCATGAGTCGACACTGGGCCGGGTAGTGAGTCGTGTGCGACAACAGCCAACTCCCACTATGCTAGATAACGATGTGGATATGGAAACGGAGAAGAAAGAAGGAAAAGGTAAATATAAACACACTTACAGCTGGCTCGATTTTCAAAATATTGACAGTTTTTAAAAGATTGTGTCATGTAGTGCACTTTTCTAATAATAATAATATGCAGATTGTACCGTTAGGACACGTGTTAATTTGCTGTTTGTCACCGGCGTGTCGTCTGATTTTTATTGTTAACTGATTGTAATTTTGTAGAGAAAGACTCATTTTCATCGAGCATCTCACTGAGTCCCTCAAATTTCTATGGATATTATGTTTTATTTCATGTTATATTATGGAGACTTAATTTCCAGACTTAATTTCCAGTTCTAAGATTAAATCGTTATCAGTTGAAGAGGATGTGATGGAGACGACCGAACAAGACGAACCGAACAAGTCCTCCGGGACTTTGGTCTGGACCTTGGACTTGTCTGAGTTTAACGACACCACATTCAGCCCTCCCCTCCTATGTCCGTAACCTCCCTTGGTGAGTAAATATTTACTACTTTGAATCGCTGAACTTGTTCTTAAAATTCAAGTTGCTTGGGTAGGTGAATTTTGTAGTGAGTACATACTATATTATGTGTTCTAAAGCTGGTAAATGTGAACCTAAATATCCAGATAATTGAATTAAAGAGCTGAACACCAACTTGAAGCTACAATGAAGGGTGTAGATCTAGCCTCCAAACTACAGCTACCAGATCGCAACCAACAGTGCAAGTGATATAATTGTATATTTCTATATAATAATATTGTAACTGTTATATCCCATCAGGCGGGTAATGTGTATACCCCGATCATCAAATGCAGCTGGATCAGAAAGAAAACCCACCCTGGGCTTCTTCCTCCAGTGCAACCCAATAGACGTACAGGGAAACAACAACGGCTGGTCGTGCTATGCTCGGGCTACTCTCAGTATTCTGTCCCGAGAAAAACCAGAAAATGACTTCAACAGACGTAAGATCTGCAACTGGTTTTGACATTAATATTATGAGATTATTGTACAATGTACATGGTGATTAGAGCTCTTTGTACAATGTATATATATTATATATACTATACTATACATGTTAACAATATCAATATTTACCATGGCAACCTGATGTGGCTTATGTTAAGGTGCTCATCGTACATTTTCAGGTATTAATCACTTCTTCTACGCAAAAGAGAATGACTGGGGATACAGTAACTTTATGATGATGGAGGTACAGTCTTCTTTATATTTTAGTGTGATTTGTCTTTCGTTTGTTCGTACTGTTCGTGTTAATCCAGATGATAATTAGCAGTAAGATTAGCATGTAATCAATCATGATAAGGTCCAATACACAAAGCATGACAGCCATAGTAATAGAATTCCTGATTCTTAGTTACCAATATAGCAAATAGTTGTGTTATCATTATTAGCGACTGGAACGTGATTGTACATTTTTGCTACACTGTGTTGCCGGAGTAAGCAGCACCTTGCTGTATCACACACTGTACACTATAATGTTGCTCAACTTCCTACTGGACCAACACATAGTCACACTTGTAGTACTAATAATATCTAGCGTATAGCGTATACATCACAATTTATGTTGGGTCCTCGTACATGCCATAAAAAGGATACAGGCCTGTATTGAATGGTCATGTGTTGAGATGCAAATACCCCTGAGGTCTGCCCAAATTAACTTCCCTCTCAGGGTTTGGAGGTATTATACAATATACATGTAACTATCATTGACGTTTTAAGTGTGCCTATTCCGACTGAGATATGTGTATTATTAGCTAGATGTGTACAGGTTTTAAATATTAATCCGTATTAATGTTGCGATGGATGACTTGGATGGAGTCTGGGACTACCATAGCAACACATACCGTCACCTCATTATAGCAGCCACACTTGTTGCCATGGCAACTAGCACTGGGGGCCGTGTTACATGTACCTTCCGTATACACCAGTAAGCTTGTATACCAGATATTATATAGTTAGTAAAGTGGTGTGTGTGTGTGTGTGTGTATGTGTGTGTGTGTGTGTGTGCAGTGTGTGTGTATATTGGTGTGAAATTGTAATTAGTTGAGCTACTATAGTTGTACATAATCACTATTTAGATATGCAGTTTATCTCATTTTTCAAGAAGGAAAGCTTATAAGCTTAGCTTTACAGTTTACATGTAAACAGTAAGCATAACATTGGACCCTAGCCTGGTGATGTACATCCTAGTGTATTGTGAGTGTGTGTGTGTGTGTGTGTGTGTGTGTGGCTCTGTGTGTAAACCACATTCCATCTTGCTACCCTCACTTTTGTTTCCAGTTAATGTGTTTCCAGCTGATCCCACCACGTTGTATAGTTAGTAAAGTCGGTGTTATCTGTATGATGGTATCACTGGTGGGGTGTCACTAGTACTATGGTACCCCAATATGAACACCTTGCTTGGCTTAACTTCCACTATTGTGGATGTGTACAATGGTAAAGTTGAGGATCTCGGGCTCAGCCCCTTTTTTATGGTAGACAAAGGCTGGAAGGATGAAGAGGTACTATACCTGAAACTTGTGTGAGATTGTTTAATTTCTCATCCCCATCACGTATAGTTAGATAGTTCGCTAATTTAGAATAATTAGTGACAACTGAGAACTTATATAATGTAAAACTCAAGCTCTGTAAATATAATGTAAGGAATATTTCGGAGAACTTAGGATTTTAGTTTAATAGTTAAGCAATTATTTTAACTTTCAGCACCACGCACTGATTTTCTGCCACGTGTTCTAAGTACAAATAAATGTTTTCTTTGTTTCACTGCCACGTCCTTATGTGTTAAATAAAACAAAACTACTATGTAACAGTTAAATAAACTAATTAAATTTCACTGTTTAAATAATACTCTGACCCAGGAAATTAAAGACCCGGCCAAAGGTTTTATCAAGGACAACAAGGTGAACCTGAAGATAGAAGTAGCTGCAGATGCTCCCCACGGTGTTCAGTGAGTTTTCTCCTCTCCCAGTTCCAACTTATAACATCTTACTCCTCTCTTAGAACTTTAAAAAACGGGATTAACAATTATTTTAAGATCGTATGTAAAGTGTTTTAGGACCGTTTACATGGTCTGCCAACCGTCAAGAAAATTTTGTGATGTTCGAGAAAATTCTAATTTGTATTTGAAAGTTTATTCTTATAGTTGGGACAGCAAGAAGTACACTGGTTACGTGGGGTTAAAGAACCAAGGTGCTACATGCTACATGAACTCTGTCTTACAAACACTTTACTTTACCAGCCAGCTTAGAAAGGTATGTTGCTTTACTACTTTTCCCAGGAATGCATTTTAACTTACACAGTTCAACTGTGCCCAGAAATGTATGTCAATTTAACACGTGAAGTACTAATATAATGATATGTGCGGATAAAAATGTTTTATTTGAGATATTGATTGAGAAAAATCAAATAACGTAATTTAATAGAAGGGCGGTACTTTTAAGGTGTTTTGGCATGCATGTTACGGCATTATACATGTAATATTATATGCCTACAATGTACATACTAAATAATAACAATTAACATATATATAATATATATATAAATATATATTTATTCATACATTATATGATAATATATTCTTTGTGCCATTATATAAGTATTGTGTATATAGTATGTATTTTATTTACCTTGGTAATTTGGCTGCACGACAAAGGGGGGCCCTCCATTATTAGGGGTCAGATCATATGACGTATAATTAGTGATGTGACGTATAATTAGTGATGTGATCCACCAGCTATGATTTACAGAACATGTGAACTCTACCCTATATCTAGCCCAGTTTAACTCCGTACTTTTGATTTAAATTAACAAGTCAATAGACATTTTTTCGTAGGATAATTAATCAAATTTACTGAATACTGAATACTGAATACTGAATACTGAATACTGAATACTGAATACTGAATACTGAATACTGAATACTGAATACATTAATTATAATTTACTACATATCGTGCCCAAAAACTGAGGCTACAGAAAACAAATACTCGATCTTGCTAGAGTATGTGGAGTAAAATGAACAGATATCGTGGAGTTGGGTATGGCAATTCCTTCGCCTCTTAGCGGGTGTCTTGCCAACACTCAACCTATCGATGTGAAAGTCAGTGATGACTTGCTGCTCTTTGATTGCTCTCACATACTCTTGAACAGAGGGCTTTGGGCGATGCACTCGGGATTTAAATCCTCTGTGAAAGCCCTCAACCATGTTCGAGGTTCGAGGGAACTCCGGATCCCGAATGATTCTGGCGAAATGGTTCCAGAATCCTAAGGGATATGCAGGGAGAAGCCTCACCTCACTGTCCACAATGACTGACCCAAGGTAAGTCTTCTCAAAATAATTCACTATAGACATTAGCTTAGGATAGTTTGTCTGTATATAGTAAGTTATTTCGTAGAAGACTTCCTCGACATCAGCCACCGGAACAAAAGCAAGAAACACAACAAGCCTTGCAGCTCTGGCAAACAGTTTATCTGTAAAGTAAATCTTCTTAAAATTCTTCTGAATGTTCTTTTGAACAGCTTGACAGAGGTGAAAGTATCCAGTCTGAATGCTCCGACAGTGTCTTCATGTTCCTGCTCGTGGAGAATACGATGACTCTGACTCCCCGATCTGTAGAACCATCAAAGAGGACAAAGGGTTCATCTCTTCTGGTGGAAGTACATGTAGGAGGGAGAGTAAAGTCTTCTGAGGTAGTAGCCTCCTGGTGCTGGGAGGATCCTGACGCTGCAGCTCTGGAACGTTGAATCACTCTGGCCAAGGACATGATGTTAGGGAGAGTCTGGTTCACTGCAGGAGAGGTCTCTACCAGGGCTTCTGATATCAGGTTCTGTGTCGCCGAAAGAGGTTGATCTTCAGCTTTCCTCTTCAGGGATGTTAGGACTTCTCTTCGTTCTGGGGCTGCGAGGTCTGCTTCGTGGTTGTGGGTTTTCGTACTCAATCTGAGAGAATCGTCTGAGAGGGATAGATAGCAGAGACACGGACACTTCGTAGGGAGTTTGTGCTTGCAGCACCGCCAGGAAGATGTGAGGGCTGAATCCTTGTTCTTCTTCCGACAGTAGATGAATCCATCAGAGTCAAGTAGCTGTTGAGATCCTGTCCGACCAGAGATGAATTTGGAGAAGGTAGGCATGTTGAAAGAATGTAAGAATGCGATACTATTGTCTTTCATCTTTCAGTATATATACCTAAGAACACTTGATCGGCTCACTCTCCTTGCATGCCTTTGGCACGTACGTCTCACATCCCTTGATACGAGAACCCCCTTTAGCAAGAGCTCCCGTCCCTTATGTGATCTACGAGTCGAGCAGTCAGATCATGTTTACTTCTTAATGTACAGCTATGATTTACAGAATTGACATGTGAACTCTACCCTATATCTAGCTCATTTCTGGGTCTACTGATGGATCACATGGATGGATCACATCACTAATTATACGTCACACCACTAATTATACGTCATATGATCTGACCTCTAATAATGGAGGGCCCCCCTTTGTCGGCCTCCCGGTAATTTCATTAAATTCTTTAGTTACTCAGATTACAAATGCAATATATGAAAGTAATGATATTTCGTAATCAAACAGTGGTAATCATGTTAAGTATAATCTGTTTAATGTGAGGATGCGATAACATGCTACAAGATACAGTAAGGGGGCCTTACCAAATTATCCGCCCTATAAATCAGACTCTATTAAATATGATATTTTTTAAATGACCACTTATTTCTAGTTTAGATGAATGCTTTTTAGCTCATGATTTTAGTTGAGCCTGACAGAAAACTGTGTTCAAACTACTATTATATAATAGAGCCATGTACTGATAGTCAGTGTACATAATCAGCAGACATAGCATATTATATAATGATACAAATCTCAATTAACAATTAAATCTCAGGCAGTATACAAGATGCCTACTGACGGGGATGATGTAAATAAAAGTGTAGCTCTGGCATTGCAACGTGTATTTTATGAGTTGCAAACGAGTGACTGTGCTGTAGCTACCAAGAAACTCACAAAATCTTTCGGGTAATATTTCCATTTATGTTTTTTTACATGTCTATGTTTATCAAGTTATCGGAATTGTTATTTATGTGCGTGATGCTGTTTTGTTTTCTTTCAAATAATTTGTCTAATTCTATGTTTCATTCAGATGGGAGGCTCTGGACTCTTTTATGCAGCACGATGTACAGGAATTCTGTAGAGTGGTAAGTCAGCATTCATTTTCTTCCGGGAAAGCTGGTCACAAGTTTAAGAAAGTAAGAAGCAAGCATCGCCGCGCCTGTTGTGTCGAGTGCTTACACCACAGCTTGCAATTTCGAGCTTTTAGCGCCCAGCTTTTCACGGTCAAGGTATCTTGTCACATTTTCACCATCTTATGTTTGCAGCTTCTGGACCACATGGAAAACAAGATGAAAGGTACTTGTGTCGAGGGTACGATCCCCAAGTTATTGGAAGGAAAAGTCTGCAGCTACATTTCCTGTATGAACGTTGATTACGAGAGTAAACGATCTGAATCATTCTTTGATATTCAGTTAAATATCAAAGGAAAGAGAACAGGTATTTGAATATAAGCTGATGATTTATAAGTATATAGCTATTGTAAAAAAACTGTCTTCCAAATCTGTTCAGACGACCCTGAAAGTTGATGGTTCCCGTTGAATTTTGCCTGCCGCGCAAAAATAGATTGCGCGCCCGCTAAAATATCTTTTTGTACTAGCAAATATTTGCAATACTTGTTTCTGGACATTCATATTTATGCATTGGGTGATTCTGCGCATTCACACTCGCACAAGTTTACTACGTCTGGATTTAAGAGAAATGCCATGCCTGGATTTTAAAGAAATTTGTGACGTATTTCTGTGTGCTTATTTAGTTATGGTCCGAACAACACATACATTTAAAGTAAGCGGATTGTAATATGTGTTGTATCAAACGTATATGAAGCCGGTAATTCGTATATATTAACATACTTGAAACCAGAATACCACCAGGCACTACCTCTTTGAGATCAATGCAATGGTAATTAATCTCTTAAAAAGTTCTTGCCAAGTGCCAGTTAACTTAGGATGCAGAGTCCAGACGTGAAGAGAAACGTGTGAAATTTCCTTTGTTTACTTATGATAACATCGACCACGTCGGCACGTCCTCGTTTTGTTAACCCTTGCTTAGCGGATCAATTTCTAGTGGACTTTTTGAGGAGGCATAAAATGGATTAATTTAAATAAAGAGTTGTATTTATTTATCATAAGCTTACTCAACCAATTTCGCAGTTATCGAATCATTCGAAGACTATATAACCCCCGAAATACTGGAGGGAGATAATAAATACGATGCCGGAACGTACGGACTACAAGACGCCAAAAAGGGAACCAAATTCCAAAAGTTTCCCCCAGTGTTGTATCTCCAATTAATGAGATTCCAGTACGACCCCTTAATGGATATGAACGTCAAGATAAACGACAGGTTTAGACCTTTAATAAGCTTATATCTATCGTAGAGATTTCTGGGTCCTTAACATTTCCCAGGCTTTTACCTTCATACAATCATACTATGTAGTGACCTACGTTTTGCTCGTATATTATTCTTATTATTTCAGATACGAGTTTCCCGAGACGTTGGATCTGAATGAGTTTATTGAGAATCCTACAGATAACGAGAAGTTTTCTTTGTTCGCAGTTTTGGTGCACTCTGGTGACAATCACGGAGGTCATTACGTTGCTTACATTAGTCCTAAACTTGATGGCAAGGTATTTTACTCGATTTTCTTATGGTTGAATTCTTTTCCTTGTGTTTCATGGCTACAATAATTGACATTTCTCCTACAATTAAGTTATGAAACTGTTATAATGACTCCTCTGAAGGAGATTTATAATTCACCCTTTCAGTGGTTTAAATTTGATGACGACGTTGTTTCCAAATCAAACCGAACCGAAGCTATCGAGAATAACTTTGGTGGGAGTGAAGATGAGAGTCTAAATGTGCGACACTGTACCAACGCGTACATGTTGGTGTACATAAAGGAGTCTCAGAAGGACGATGTGTTGACGAATATCATTGACGATGACATTCCTATCAATCTTACATCCTTTTTCGAGGAGGAGAAAAGGGAAGAGGCCCTGAGAAGGAAGGAGAAACAAGAAGCTCATTTGTATATGTCTGTTGAGGTAAATAATATTATTTTGAAGAGGTTTGAGAGAACAGTAACCACGAAGTACGAACACGGCTGAGGAGCCGCTGTCTTCAATATCATTAACAATACAAGTATATTTTAAAAACAGCCCGATACTCTTATTCCCAAAAGAGCAAACATTTATGATATCTTCCAGGCAGTAACAGATGACCCCTTTCACGGATACCAAGGCAACGATCTACTAAACTGGACCACTGCTCGACCCAGTGTATACCGGGTTAAAAAAGAGAGTTCAGTTCGGGATATGGAGGAAATGATCGCTGACAACATGGGTTATCAAGTGGATGGTATTAGGTTGTGGGTCTTCCAATCTCGGGCCAACTCTACAATTCGTCCTGCTCCAATAGAAAACGAACGGGAGAAAACTATCTGGGAAGTAGCAGAAAAGGAAACTCCTCTCAAAGTGTTCATAGAGACGATTGATCAGAGTAACCCATCTAAAGGGCTTATGCCCTATAAGAGAGACGAACAAAACATCATCTTCTTGAAGTATTTCGACGTCATGACAGACACCATGTATTATCTTACCCACGTGTTCTTGTCCCCTGACAGTTGTATCGGTTAGTCAATTACAGTTTCTTGCTTATTATATCACTCAATAAGGGATCTTTTGCATATCAGATTTTGGTCATTTAAGCCCTCGCCCACACTCAGCCATTTTGAAAATAGCTATCGTGTAGAAATTACAATCGTAAGCATTGGCTCATTACGTAATATTTGAACGACCTCCAAGGTCATACACATTCAAATACTTGGAATATTTCACATTCACCAGTCTCCTGACCTGAGGTTTAGTATGTACATCTCAAAAACACTACCATTTCCAGGTGACGTGTTCCAGCACGCTAGAGATAAGATAGGTCTACCAGCCAATGTACCTCTGGCACTATACGAAGAGGTACACGCAGGGAGAACAGATGAGCTGACTCCTACCAAACTTCTGGGCGAGGTATGTCCTCACAAAACTGATTTTTAAATAGATCGTCATTAACTAGTTCAATAACCTTATTTTTAATTTGAAAATAGTATTAATTATTATATTATTTTGATATAAAAGTAATGAAAACAATGGTATTGCAATACAAGTTGCATACTGTGTGGCCGGATGACAACTAAACTAAACTATAAAAATATACTTGAAGTTGAATATATAATAATAATTAATTCGGATCAACCAACACATAGCAGGAGCCACATTAACGTTGGGGCCGTCTGGCGTCTACCAAAATTTAGTATAACGAACAATAACAAACAATCAACATATCATATAATCGTAAAAATATGGCTGATTACAATACAAAGAAAAGACAATGAATAAATTAAATAAATCGGACAGAAGAAATTAAGAAAACTTTACTAATAAAGTTAATATTTAGGTTGAAATAGACGGTCTCAATAAAGTTCTTGTATCATTGTGAATATGTGTGATAACATATTCGTGATATTAATTTTAAAAGCAATTCACTCAGATGGAGGAAGTGTTTGACGGTGATATCTGGGTGATACAGAGAACAGACCTGACTGGCAAGTTCCACAACACCGTGGACGACTACTTTAGGGACCTCAACAACAGGATCTCAGTTCAGTTCTGTGACAAAAACAACCCTGCTGACCCCGGCTTCCACGTCGTGCTGAACCAGAAGATGACGTATAATGAGGTGGCCGAGGTGGTTGCTAATTGTATTGACAGTGAACCTAACCTCATTCAGTTCTTCAAACCCCAGAGGTGAGTGCAACTAACCTCGTACGTCATTTTATTACGAAATTATCAACTTCATCTAGAAAATGTTTGCTCCGCTAAATAAGTGATCACCAAGTTGTTTTTAAGAAATATAGCAGGATATTTCTTCCATTTTTGGATTCGATTTGTTACTGATACTGACTATCTAACTTTTAAATTTCAGTCATCGTGATATAGCTGGTTACGCCATCAAAAGTCACTTCGAGGGAACGCTGAAAGACCTGTTTATGTCGTATGGTCAGAGAACTAAATCTCCTAAGAAACTCTTTTATCTAAGGGTATGTGCAGTCTCCATTGTCTAACTGTTAATCTTAATTGCAAATCATTTCTTTGCGCATAAAGCTACCATGATGTGATGATTGGCTCTAAGAGGGAATACAATATATAATAACCCAACACCTAGGTAAAAGTAATACCTGATAACCTAATTTCAGCTAAACATCGCGATATCGGAGCTAGAGAGCAAGGATCACTTTAGATGTACGTGGCTAAACAAACATCGCGAGGAAACCGTTCTCTCTCTTTACGTCGCTAAAAATGTCACTATCTCCGAACTCTTGGAAGAAGCGAAAAAACAGGTTTGAATGCAGGTTCTGAATCGAGGGGCTTATAAACTCACCGAGAAATCATATCTTCGTAGAAAAAATGCTGGAACTAGTTTTGGATTGCACTGTGTAAAACCGTCCTGCTAGTTTATGTAACACTGACTGTAACACTGACTGTTCCCTCAGATCGAGTTGTCACCAGATGGTAGTGCTAAACTGAGACTACTGGAGGTTTACAGCTACAGAATACACAGGGTCTTCTCTAACGGAGTTAGTTATCACAACATACAACCTTCCATGGCCCAACAAACCACTTGCTATAGAGTCGAGGTAAGATGAAGTTAATGGATAATATCATGTACTTAAAGATAAGTACCCGGCCATATTGACTGCGTTTCAATTTTGACTGCCAATTGATTAAACTCAATAATTTCTTACAGGAAATACCGGTCGAAGAGACCAGGTTAGGACCCAAAGATTTCTTGATTCCAGTGGCTCATTTCCACCAAACAATATTCCAGTGCTTCAACCACCCTTTCCTCTTCAAGTAAGTACTATCCAGGGGAATGATTAAACTGATACATTACACTTCCTTCGGGAGAAGAAATTTTATAACTATTTAAGCTGTAATTTGTGTTTAAAAATGTAAATTTATCTAAGTATTGTCTGTTTTCAGAGTGACAGAAGGTGAGGCCTTACAATCAGTCAGAACACGAATGTTGGAAAGGTTCAAAGATATTTCAGAGAAAGAGTTCGAAAAGTACAAGTTTTCTCTTATTACTCACGGACGAATGACACCTCTTAACGATGGTAATAATTACTTTTGATTAATCCGCGACTAATTTTTTTTGCTCAATAATAAGTAACTGTTTTTGATGTTTGTTTGTATTATTTTTCAATCATAGACGTTTTGGTTCGATAATGAGTTATCATTATTATTTCAGACTTTACGTTCAATTCAACGGACTTCATCACAAATGTGGACAAGGATACTAAACCAAGTAAGATAATATTAATAAGTAGAATCGTATTACAAATTTCTTGTTATTTACTGATAAATTACTAAAAAGAAACACAAGATCTGCAAAACTGAGTTTTACCTCCCATTCCAGTAACAGAGGCACATCTTGACGTGTTTCTCCACTCGCGGCCCTGGCTTGGACTGGAACACGCCCTCAAACCGCCCAAACGATCCCGGTACACTTACGTCGAGAAACCAGTCAAGATACACAATCAATAGTCTAGAAATTGTGAGTATATATATTTGTGATATTTATATTATTGGATCCAAGCTAGAAGTATAAATGTTGGAGATTATGAGGTGTCTACCGAATTGTCCCCATGTTTTCATTAAAGATTTATAATTTTAAACGTTTGTTTGCATGCTTTTAAAAACTGGCTTATTTTAAATGGTGTTAAAATTAAATTAGTCTTTCATTTCAGAAGGGGTTTAGGACCAGTAATTTTGTGTATAAGGAGTTACGTAAAGACGCTGGAGTATCAGATCCTAGCTAAGATGCTGGACATGGAGGCACTATTCTAGTATATATTTCACACGTTTTGTACATGATAGAGGATATCATGCCGCCGCCGCGTGTACCATATATACCTCGTGGCGCGCGGCCTGCAACTCTGACTGCCGCGCCACTTGTGTAAATGTGCACGTGCGGTGGTGCATTGTGCACGTGTTAACGATAAATACACCATTCAGTGCAGGACAGGACAGTATATGAATGATTAGTCTTCTCCTTAATGCGGGAGTATTTGATTTTTTGTTTCTTGCTCTGTATTACTATTTTTGCAGATGCAGGGGGTGATGATAAATTTTGTCGTAAAATGTGATTTAAAGTATCTTTGTAGTGAACTTGAAGTTCGGCTTGTCCTTTATGCTAAATGCTGCTAATTACCTTTATTAGCTTTATGTTGAATGGTTTCAACGCCTGAATATTCTTGGGGATATTGTAGGGCTGGAATTATGTTAGAATATCATGTGCATTTTAAGTGTCATACTTATATCATTCTTGTTGCTTGAGGACACTGCCTTTTGATATAGTTTTTGAATCCTACCTGTGGGACTATATACCATGTTACTTATACTCCGTCACTATTATATTAGTAACTAAATAAGCGTGGGATTTCGCAAAACTGTTCCCTTATAAATCTATTGAATTTTCTACGGTTAATATTGATGATACTGCTTTATGATAAGTAGTTTATTCCACCAAAATGCGGGGAGCTTCCGAAAATACTGTGTATTTCCGAGAATGCAGTCGATAAGATTTTCCAGATACAATAGCTCACGTGTTACTCCGCTTCACAGTTGCGTGGGGAATTTTTCTTCTAAGGCCAGAAATGAATAAATTTGTCTCATCTGAGCAGAAGATTTCAAATGAATAATTTGTAAAAATTTGATTGGTTTTCATTTTATCTGATCAATTCGGGCTTTACGATAATAATTCACATAAATTTGTGCTGATCGTATAAATCAGGTTGTTGTAGCTTTTTCTTTAAGTTCTATGTTCGAACTTTAATCGTCCATTCTCGGTAATTTTCGCTATCTTCAATTGAATTTGGTCCATTGAGTGAAAATAGCTGAGTAACACGTATCACTATCATTTGAGTTTCAAGTTTGCAATCATTCTTTTACACGCGATAAATGGTAAAGCCGAGCTCAAATATATGTTACACGTGTATACTGCATTTAGCGTTTCTTTATTAAATTAGTAATTTTGACCCGTACCTACATATATTTATAAATAATAACGTAGTTTTATTTTTCATTTAATTTTCCAACCCCGCAGTTGTAAGCACCTATTGATGGAAAACTTCACGTTCGTGAGGTATACGACTTACAATTCAAGTAATTTCTCGTCGCGTCTATCTACAATAATTTAACATAGAAATAATTAACGCTCTACTGAACCCTCCGTGGGACAGAGTGAGAGACGTGCACCACCGCGACTCGCCGCCGCGAAATTTTGACCCAGACCGCGGTCTTAATGACTTTGAGGTATTGCTATTGCACTTGTAGCGCGATGCGTTACTGTGCCGCGCCGCGCACTCAATGAGGCTTCTCACAGCGACATCGGCTAGATCGGCGAGATGCGCTACTGTGCCGCGCCGAGCTGCCATGAATTGACATCGTCAATTAACTATTGCACATTGGCTGTCAGATCAACAATGAACAAATACAGCTGTTAACGATCAATTAGTTCTTCAATGTAGTCGTAGAGTGATATTAAGAAATCGATTCATATATGATATACATCAGTTACACAACCAAATTACCATCATGTACACAGTACACAGGGGTGGGCGACAATTGACCCCCGACAATATAATTTAAAACAATTAACCCAAGACCCTAACAGTAACCCTAACCCTCACAGTAACCCTGACCCTGACCAGGACCCTAACCCTAACCCTAACCCTAACACTACTCTAATCCTAAACCTAACCCAACCCTTACCCTGACCCTGACCCAGGACCCTGCCCCTGACCCTGACCCTGACCCTAACTAGGTAGTGCGCCATCGACAGTGAGCCGCGCGTGCCGACTGTAGGATGGGTTTTTTAGCGCTAATTTCGGCCAGCACAATTTTCTTCAAACAAATAGATATTTAGTATCCTTCCCGACCTCCAATTGCAACAAAAATTGATAAGCTTACTCATAAACTTACAAGGAAAGTGTCCGAAAAATTTAAAGCATATCCAACCATCATACATCATGTTACAGCTAAAAGCAGCGTATTTTGCCCCATTTTGATCACTATATCAACTCCGATATCCACCAAATTTTTCGGACAGTTGTGAAAGCCCTATTGGAAGGTCGTCGCCAATTTTCAGAATGATCTCATTTAAGGAACTGAAGATATATCCGAATAATACGACAAAAATGGTCAAATTTGGACAAATTTGGTCAAATTACGCGACTTTTACAACTACTTTTGCTCCAAAAGCCGTGCACCATCAAATATGGCACCTAGGCGAAACTCACTGATCTTTTCAAAAAAGGTATGACAAATTTGGTATTGTGAAAATTCTCACAGTCTCTAGAGAACAGTGGTACTGGTACAAAAAATTTTAAAATCCGAGCAAGTTTATTTTTATCGTGCATTGCATCCCCTACCTTAACCCGATCAATTGACCCCAGTGTAATTACTTTATTACACCGGGGTCAATTGATTGTTATTAATTGTTATACTTATTCGATCAATCGTCAAATCGTGCAAACGTATTATGCTGAGGGTAATCATGGCGACGACGCCATAACTGCTCTGCGCGCGGAGAATATGCATCAAAATAAGGTATGCGGCGGGTTATGCATGTTTTACTTTGTGACACGATTCATGACTCACCTGACACGAAAAACATACCTACCTACTATACCCATTCTCAATTCAATCCACTTCTATACATTTTATGCTTTTTTAAAGAAAAAACAGTTGATGTAAAAAATTTTCAGGAAAGGTAGATTTTCCAAACTGTCCCAGACTTCTGTTGTGCAATTTTGGGTATTACGCTATATAGCATGACACAATAATTAACACAATTTTACTCGATATTTTTTGCAACTTTTCTGTCGGTGGTTGATTCTCCTTTATTGATATTCTAAGTAAACTATAGGTAAAAATATAATATTAATCATAAGCTAAAATGTACTAATCTTTGTATTCTAAATGGGGAAAAAGAAGAAACATTGTCAGTCAGTCGAGAAAATTGTCAGTCAGGCTATATGGCAGCTTTGTAGATGTTGTGACTATGCTAGTAGTGGTCCCAGGCTTGCGACTGGAATTGCGGTGTTAAATCGATTTAATGGTACCAACGATCCACCTCCCACTTGTTGTTTGGTACTTAGCATTAATAGTGTTAGCTGTAGCCATTTATAGCAAGAATCTTAAAACATAAGGGGATGACAAGGAAAAGAGGAAGGAAAAAGAATAACGGGACAAACAATTAATTAAAGTATTTATAGGAGCATTAGATATTGTAATTACAAGCTTCAATAATAAATCACTGACTAAAACTTCTAATTAAAATGACACTTGGTACGCTCGCCCATTTTCACTGGTCAGTCTGAACTTCGGTTTAGCACGTTGTACACTTATTCACCTAAGTTTCAGAATTTGTTCAGTTTAGCAGAGTTAGTACCCGTGTTTCAATAAATCAAAAGATATCAGGGGAGTTCTTTAATAATGTTACGGTCATCTAGAATACCGAACTTCCTGAAAACGTTATCATATTTCCTCAGACAACGTTTAATGCCTTTAATCAGTCTATCACGGCTATATCCTCTATCAATTAGAATTTTGAATATTTTGTGAAGATGGGAGGAAAAGATATCCAATCTAGTGCAAACATTACCATATCTAAGAACTTGACTTGAAAAAACGTTGTAGCCAACCTCGGTTGGGATGTTACTGTGAGGAAATGTAAGGGATACAACATGAAAATTAAAATCATCAGTTTTGTTATACACTGATATTTCTAGTCCTTCTGTGGAAATATTAATATTTAAATCAAGGTAGTTAATGATTTTATTATTGGAACCAGCTCGCTCCATCTCCAATGAATTAGGATAAATATCTTTAATCAATTTATGAAAGTAAAGGTAGTTAATAATAGATAAATCGTCAACATATCGTATATATAATAACATAAACCCGCCACGCAAAGGGTTTATATAACAGATCATCCCGCGCTAGCGGGATGATCTGATAAACACATACGAGTGCGCGCAGCGCACGAGTTTTGTGTTAATATGTAATCCCGAAGCGCCAGCTGAGGGATTACATTTATTTAGCCCTGAGCGTGAAGTGTTTATGGATTATAATTATCTCCGGCGATTTCGACAAGGGATTTATACTTTAGAAGAGAGTGATAAAATAGTTTTTATTTCGGAATACGGGTCTGATTTTAGTAATATTTTCATTTCTATTTGTGATGGTGATAACAAGTGATACGATAACGTACTAACAGTAGTAAATTAAGATTAAATAGCACAATTGAAGTTATACCGGTTAAACAAGTAATAGAAAATATATTTACGATGAAAAGCAAGCTATATCAAAATGTAAAATTGTATTGATTGTATTCAGTATTGATCTGGATGACTGAAGCCAAGAATTAAATTTGTTTAGAGCCCAGTTCACAGTTGTTGACTCTAACTGTACTGTCCGAAACACGATTGGAAAGCAGTTCATCAATCTGAATGTCAAACCGATCTGTCATAGTGGAGCAATAGCTTGAACGTTAGCAGGAACAAGAGCTGGAAGGAGAGCAAGCAAAACAATACTATTTTTTAGGGCTTTTATTTTTTATTTAGGGCACGGACAAGGGTAGCTGGCTAGTCGCCAACTTCTCACGCCACGCGTTGGAGAAATTCCAAGAATTAGCTGCTTTCATGGCAACGTTCCCAGGAATTTGCGTGTAAAAGAAGTGGACGGTTACGATGTTTCATATCACGTGGTGCGCTTTCGTGTCACGTGGTATAGACTCGGCGTATGCTATTGGTGGCACGTGGTACGCACGTGACGCGCCCACGTGATCGCGCGTCTAACTGTTCTACTATTATCGAGTTCTAATCAGCAGTATCATTGATTATTGTAAGTCGGAGAATTGAATGATAAACATCAGTTACGACTAAAAAGCGGGCCGGGTTTATACAAATTTCCGGGGCGGGATGATATCACCTTGAGATATTTATCTAACAGCGGGCCGGGCTGAGTGATAATATGATCCCGCGTCGAAATCCCGGAGATATTTATAACTAGAAAGCCCGTGGTCAGAGGGAGGAAGCTAATAGTATTCGTTGGTAGTCAGTTTTTATAGCATCAACAAATATCCGGCACAACCGAATATACAACCAATTAAAATATAGATCGCACTGAACACAACGTAATTACCACAAAACCGATCAAAATCTCGCTCGAAAATCTATGCATGTGCTGCTCCTGCGCTTTTGAAATTGAATACTGTTACCATGGTTACTTTGCAACTACCTTGTACCTATTCTTTATCTATTAGTATTTGCACGCGGGCGGTCGTACATACAAACAAAAATAATTCTTTGAATTATAAGTTAGAGACTATATACTTATAGTTGAATTCTCTCCCCCTATTTGCTGACTTGATAAAATGACTAGGAGATCTAACTATAAGAGACTCAGCTTTAACCAACCACAGGGAGCGGTATCTGTCCGACCTTTATCTTCAATCTTACTTGCTGAGCTTTTCTGGTGAGGACCACTGATATAATAATACGTAATCTCGATTATAACTTTCAATTTATTCGCTACCGCTACCAACGTCACTGGTCACGACGTAAATTAACTTAGCTTCTGAAAACATATTCTCTACTACTAATATGCTCACAAATTTCGATTCGATATTATTTGGTTAACGTTTTCGGCAGCTCTACAATTTTATGGCTACGTTGAAGTGGTTCGAGGAATTACTCTCCAAAACGAATGGCTCGGACTTTGACCACAAAAAAACACCTGACAGCTTTGAAGTTATCGTGCACGAGGGAGATAAAGTTTACGCTGAATGGGACATTACTAAAGAGCTCCTAGAAAACGGGATGAGCCGGAAACACTTCTTTGATGCAAATCTTAATGTTGATATCGAGCTGTTCTTTATGCATACAGATCTTAGGGAACAATTAAAACACGACGAGTCATTTAAGAATCTTTTGGAAAGAGCAGATAATGCCTCTAGAACGTTTGACTATAACGGGACCACTTCTGGATACAATATTAAGGA